CTAAGGGATCTCTGCCCTTCTCTGCTCTGTGGTGCAGACTGGGCCATGCACAGCCTTCAGGATGTGTCTTGCACCTTCTCTGTTCCACGTAAAACTGATGGAATGGTCTTTAAAGTACAATGTTTACATCCAACTCCAGATCCTTCTACAGTGTGGGTGTTAGAATCAGACAGTTGACAGCCCTTTCATTTATGTTCCAGCTGGTGCAGTGCTGCTTGAGGACTTTTACCTCTGTGGACCTGTCCCTGCTCTGGTGTGTCCTCTCAGCCTTCCTGACTGTTTTGCCTTACAGGACAGGGCAGCTTTTGGACAGCCCAGATGTTGGTTCCAGCTCCTAGGGTTGATATTAGAAATGTTAAATCTTTGGTCAGATGATTAGGAATTATTTGTATGGATTTTACAGTGAAAATATGTTCTTAGCAGTCAGGGTTTGGCTAGAAGCTCTTGGAAAGGAGTCAGGGACAGGCTTCTACAGTCTGTGGACATTGTTTGAAAGTTTCCAGTGAAATTAGTACTTCCTCTTAATCAAATTATATTTGCTTGTTGACCCCTCTTATCTAATTTGTCCCTACTTTACTGAAATGCTTCTACTTGCATGCACTGAATCAGCTATTCCACATTACTCTTTCACCACTGTGATGGCAGAAGCACATTTGAGCTAAGAGATGCTTTCTTTTCCATGTTGTAACCCCATGCCTTGTGATTTGTGGAGAAATAAATAGTTTTGTTGTGCTTCAGCCATCTCTTTGAGGCTGAGGGGAAGGATCTCAGATCAAATATTAGGTGCAGCTGAGCAGCCAATTAGACAATCCTTGTGAGTCTTCTTGTTAGGTGTGGGTAAGTGGCCAAAGCTTGGATGGCCATCTCTTGAGGTTCCCACATCTCTATGCACTGCACAAGCAGCTTCAGCAAAGGGCAGGGTTGTGGCCTCCTGCCCCATGTCCTGCTCCTTGTCTCTGGCCTCCAGATGTGCTCACCTGTGCTTGTGGTGCTGCAGGCAGGTGTAAAATGAACCAGCCTTGTTTGCTGGCTAAATCACAGACCCATCCTCACACCATGCCCTGTTCAGGGGAGGCTGCTGGGTGCCCAGAGCTGCCTCCAGGGTCACAAACACCACAGACACCAGCCTGGCCCTAACAGAGATGCTTTCAGACTCTCTGCCCTGCAGAGTGGTGATCTGGCAGGGGTTTGGTCTCATTTGCAGAATATGTAACTGGGGTGGCTGGGGGCAGTAGGTGACTTTTGGTGGCTTGTGGAGCAATGTCAGAGCCAAGACTAGAACCTGGTTCTTGAAATTCCAGGCTTCATTCTCTGTGGCCTACTGTCTCTCTAACAATGTTTTAATGAAAAATGCAAAATATTAGTTTAGAGCAGGATTCAAGAAAAATGTCCAATTACTTAATCATAGGTGAACTATAATTGTGAGACACAAACATGTCTTGCTACAAAGCACCAGGCAAAAAAGCAGAAAGGATTATTTGTTGTTTAATTTAGCAGAGGAAGGCAGCTGATCATGCTAAGTCTATCTGACACCTAGCGAGTTCTGTGATCCTATTTGTTAATCTTTTTAACTTTCTGTTTTATTAGGATAGGGTTTCAAGAGCAAATAGGATAAATGAGATTAAATCTGTCGCCCTGAATTACTCTCCACTGAGTTATGAACAGAATCACTGTGTGTCAGAGAAGTATAATTATGAGGGAAATGCTGCCTGTGTAATTGTGTGCTTTGTTTGGGAAAATTTGAGATCTGTAATTATCCCCAGCGTGCCATGGTGCTGTGTGCTGGCTCTGAACCTCTGCAGTAAACAAAGAAAGGGAAGTTTCTCTTTGGAGCAGTCCTTGAGCAGTATGGCTGGTACCTGCAACATTACCCTGCAGGTCTTCAGGTTCAAGGGAGGGATCCAAATTAACTTGGAATGGGACACACATTGTACAATTACTGTCTCAGAGAAAAATCTGGTGGTGCTCCATTAGGGGATTATACACTGGTCCTGGCTCTATGTAATTCTTGTAGCCCTATAAAAGTTGTGGTACCCTTCCTGATATGTAATTCCTCTCTGAGATGAGTTAAAGACACAAAACTGTAGCCTCTTGAAATTTTGGGTTCACCAGCCAGAGAAAGCTTTAAATCCTGTGTGCTGTTTGTCTGGATTCACAACAGCTTCTGTTAGGAAAAAGGAAAGGAGAAGTTCAGCTATAATTGTTCCTATATAATAGGCACAATTGCTGCTGGAAGTAGATCTCCTGGAGAAAGGATATGCAGAAAGGAAAAGAACTTGCTACAGGTCCTGCTTCAACACTTCTGCAGCTTTCTTCTTGAGGCAGAGGGGCAAAAGCCAGGCTTTCACATGATGGATTAGTGATAAAACAACCTGCTAGGCTCTGATTAGAATTTCTGTCATTTTGCCAAAAATCATATGTGCATTAGTGAGAGGCAGGGAAGCTGCATAATTTAGGTGAATCCTATTGGATTATTTTTTTTTCAGACCTCTTTACAGTTATGAGCCAGGACTTGATCTCCACATCTGTTTTTATTGGCCAGTTAAGTTTACAAATGAGTCCCCTTTTGTCCCATCTAATTTTATGTAATCTGTGATGCTGCATAACAATTCTGGGAAGAAGAAATGGAAGGATTGTGAGCTGACCTTGTGGCAAGTATGTACAGTGACTCACTCTATTCTTTATTTCAACTTCCGTGAAGTCTTTTCAGATACGCTGTTTACCCATTAAATGTGCTGTGCAGTTTATCTTATGGCTAAAATTCTTCCTAATATTTTGATATATTTGTTGGGAACATGGCAAAATAAATCACAAATGAGAATGTTAAAAAATGCTTGCATTAATCATCTGAGACAGTCTCTCTAATTATAATCTCATTCAGAGTAACTGGTTATCTGTAAGAAAGGGTTTCCTGTCCCTTGATTTGCCAACCTACGTGACTTTACTGCCAAGGACATCTCTCCTCCATGCTTGACAAGCAATGGGTAACTTCATAATCTTTCTCTGTGTAGGCAATTTCTTCATGGGAAGAAATTAAGTCAGTCATGCCCATTACTGAATCTAATTTTACTATAATTTAGAGGGAAGAACTCTTCCCTGAGTAGAATTGATTTTATAACCGCTTACTTCAGGACTTATTTTGCTTTCCTCCAGAGGATGTGGCAGAAACTGTTGTTAGTGGCAGGCCTGCAGTTTGCTTGGCAAGGTCACTGCAGCAGCACCTTTCGTGGCAAGTGAGAAACTTGGGCCTTGCTTTGGTTTGCAGTCATCAGCAGCTGCTCTGAGGCAAACTGAGCAAGGCAGCAAGTCTGTATGAGCTCACTACTTGTTGAAATTCTTTCTTTTGGGAAGCATAAGGTTCCTAGGGAAGGTACCTCCTGGAGTCAAGCTGTCTTTGGCTGGTTTGTTCTCCTTCTCCCTTAGTCAGCCTGGAGGTTTGGCCCTGGCCACAGAGGTGTCTTGCTCATGGCTTTACAGTTCATTCACCCTGGGCAGGACTTGTGCATCTTCTCCTCACTCCAGGCTAGGCTGAGTGAAGCACTCACAAGGAAAGGTCCTTTTAAAAGCAGTTTGCAGCAGTGCTGTGGTAAAAGCCCAGCTGTGAAGAGGTGGGGAGTGCAAAACAATCTCTTTTTGCCTGCCCACAAAGAAACAGGAGAAGAAAACGTGGTGACTTCCTAACACTGGTCACAAGAGCAGGTTTGACAGTGTCCTTTCAAGGTGAGTAACACCATTCTCAGCTGTTCAAAACAGCCTCTTGCTAGCAAACCCAGTGCAAATGCACAGTGGAAGAGGGCTGCTTGCTTGTTGTTTTCTCCTTGTTTGCCCAGGCTTCAGCCTGGCAGACAATCAGACCCAATTGTAGATGTAATGCAGGCAAAATACCAGAATACATGGGCCAGAGTGTGCTTTATGCTAATGGCAGCTGGCATTGCTGAATGTCTGCCTGCTCAGCAGCCTTGGAAGGGTCCTTGGCTGTCAAGACAAGTGGAAATCTAAGGAGCAGCTCAGTAGGGGTCTTTTTCTCAATTGCATACTTTGGCCCACATTCTTCCTTATTTATATTTGCGAGTATCATGAGATTGATCAGATTTTTCTCCTCAGTGGCCCTGTAACACCAAACCTCCTCCTGCAGGAGAAATGCATTTGGTGGGGTGTTCAGAGGTTATGAATGGCTGAGTGAATGCACACTGCTTTTTGTTTGGTGAAGCTGCCTATAAGGCAGGCTATTTTCTGCCTCATCATGCCCTTCTCTGCTGGTAGCAAGTGTTTTTTGCAGTTTGAACAATTTTCTTCTAATTAACAAGAATTTCCCCATCCTCTTTCCAAAGGATCTTACTTGTTCTCCTTTACCCTTTATCTTCAGTTCCTCTCAGTTACACTCACTGGGTAAGCAACAAATCTTTCTGGTGCTTCTGAACATTGTTCACATGGCATATGCCATCTACTTTCTTTTTGATATTGCATTTTCTGCTGACACCTGCAAGCCTGGTCTGACAAAACTTTCCCCCAAGGAGAAGTTTTGTAGTGTTGGTTCTGAGTGTTAAAAACCATGGAAGCTTAGTGAAAAGCAAATGTGATTCTCTTTGCCCCTGCTTTGGGGATCAATGGTTTGAATTCTATTGTGCTTTACACCAGGGAAAATTGAAAGTAACCCCAGCTGCAACAAGGCAGCAGAGAAGGTAAAATAATTGCAACAATGGGCTGAAGCTGCTGCACAGAGCAGTAAAACGCCAGGTTGCAGATGAGGCAATAGGGTGGCAAAGCCCTGTGAGCCCTGGGAACAATCAGGGCTTTCTGTGCTCTGGAACAAAGCAGCTTTACAGAGGGTGTTGCAGTGATCACTGAAACTGGCTCCCTGGAAATTTCTGTTACACTGCACATTCAGCCTTGCTGCATGGCTGGGATGGCCCAGAGAACTTCTCTGTGTGGTGGTAATGAGTGGGAAGAAACCATGAGTTACAGCTGAAAGCCTTACCCATGACTCTTCTTCTCCACAGGTGCCCCTGGTTGACAAAAGCCATCTCCCCAGCCATCCCAGTGTACAATGGACTCGTTTTCTTGTTTGTGCTGGCAAACTTCAGCATGGCAACTTTCATGGACCCTGGAGTTTTCCCACGAGGTAACAGAAATTGGGATATTGCTGGGGGGAGGGGGGACATTGAAAATCCAAGCCAGAGGAGGTGCCAGGTATCCAGACACACAAGTTGCTGATTGATCTTGCAAACTTTATTTATTTATTTGTTTACTATATTTGACTGTCAGTAGCGTGAGATGGCAGTGAAATGCTGGGCACCCTCCAGCTCCCTTCTGAGCTCCTGGGTGTCCTCACACTTGCTCAGACTGGCACTCAGAGGGCACAGGGCTGTGCAGAATGGTTCTCCTTGGACAGCTCTCCTGAGTGATGTGATTTTGATTGCTATCCCCTGTGTCACGCTGGCACACTGGATTTAAGTCACTGTCTTCACCAGAGGTAGCAGAGCATGGCAGAGGGGAGAGGCTAAACTTCCTGCAAGTTTCATCAAAGCAGTCCTTCCAGAATACCTTAAAAGAAATGCAGAAGCATTGAACGCTAGAACAGATAATGATTAAGGCTTGCCTTAGAGTGTCTAAAAATGTATACATTTAGAAAGATATTCGTGCTTAAATTAGTACTGATTCACAGCTGATAGAGATCACTCAGCTTTTGTAATGGGAACCACAGTGCAGCTATCTCTTTTAACACATCCTAATGAGAGAATTATCATCTCATTTTATCTGTCTTCCAATAATTATTCACATGCAGTTTGCAGCAGAGACTGCTCTAGGCAGTCTGTCTAAACCAATGGATCTGTGCTGTCTGCAAGCTGTGCTTCCTCACCTCTGTTCACCAAGTTCAGGGTCTGTTTTGAATTGCTACCTGACAAGAGCAAGGCACCAGTCCTGCTGGTTTCCCTGAATAGCAAGGCCAGGTTTCTCCAGGTAGCCTGGTCTAATAATGAGCATCTCTCTGCCATTCCTCTCAGCTGAAGTTTCTGAACTCCTGATTAAGTGTTGCAGCACTCCAGTTGAGGAAATTATTGTGTGTAAAGGCAATCTAAGGCAGAGGCAAGATCCAGTCACTTGTGTAAGATCAACAGATACACTATATAGGTACTTAAAGCTACAAATGTTAGTGACTTTCAAAAGAGCTTATGCAGGAGTTTTGAGGAGTTTCCTGGACTTGTTAGTTTCTTTATCTCAGCAGAGATAGCAGTGGTTAATTAAACATTAAACATTATCAGTCTGAGAATCCAGTGTGTTTGTGCAGGGCAGTTCCCTCAGAGCAGAGCTGGACATCACCAGGCCCTGGGAGTGATCAGTGCTGAGTGTATTGTCAGTTCATACCTTCCTCTGGGCTTCTCTAACTTCCTTTTGCAAACAAGTTCTTCATTTTGGACTTTGCATTTAAGGAAAAAACACACGGGGAGATCAAACAGAAACTTCCTCATCACCTTCCCTCCCATCCCATCTCCCTTTACACAAGGGAGTCCGGAGCAAAGCAGGAAGAGGAGGAGCTCCTCAAGTTCACCCCTCTACTGTCTCTCACTTCATTTGTGGCCTTGGCCTTGCATCTCTGTGCCTGTGCCTTGTCAGGAAGATGCTGGGAGCAAGGGGAGAGAAAAGACATGGCATTCGTCCTGGGAGAAGGTGATGGAGTAGGAGTTCAGATGTGTGAAGGAAGCAAACTGATAAGGGAAAAGATGGAAAAGACTATAAATACCAGTGCTGGGAGGAAAGAGGAGCAGATGTTATTTCAGATCACAAGTGTGCATGTGAAAAAAAGCTTATCACCACCCCACGCCGCCCGCAGAGCTGCCAGCGCAAGGAGTTCAGGAATTGTAGGAGGGACTTAAAATGAATACACAATCACTCCATTTGCTTTCTGCTGTTGAAATCAGGTTCAGTCTTCTTGGTTTTCAAGCTTCTTAGCACATTTCTGATAGTTAGGAATTTACTTCAAAACCAAAACAACAAATAAGTAGTACAAAAGCTGAGACTGTAATGAAATCACACAATTCCTTAAGGAAGCCATCAAAAATCTGTTAGAAAAATATGAGACTGGGCTGCTCCATGTCAGTGGATCAGTGTATGAGAATCTGTGTTGTAAGATACATTCCTTTGTCAATGTATTCTTCTGCCCAGGTCTCTGGAAACTGGAAATAAGCACATTTCTAGCTATATTATATGAGCTTGCAGATCTGGCAGATAGAACTTGGCCTGTGGGGGGAAATGATAAAAGTTGGGCTGCAGAAACCCAGCTTGTTGAAGAGAAGCTTAATCAAGCTCACAGCTCTGTTACTCATTTTTAAATTTTTTTTTTTAAATTTGTTGGCTCTCTGAATCTTTCTGGTATGAATCAGTATTGGCTCTGTGTGAGTGAATTTCTGGTAATACACCAGAATGAATGAGTAGGAAAGGAAGTATCAAGTAACTGAAATTGGGGCTGCCTTGAAAAATCTGATTTACAGTCTCTAGGCTGAGACTGGCAATGTTTTTTGCTGGCTAATTATACCTACTACAATTGGCTTTCAGTATTTTTGATGTGGATCTGTTTTGTACAAACTCTGTGTTTGAATTCTGCAAAAGGAACATGTTTAAATGCATGTTGGTATATATAATGTACAGACTTTTTGTCAGCATAGTCAGATTTTTTATAAGAGCTTAAATGGTTTGACTGTTCCGGTGTCTTGTTTTCATCTGCCCACATGTATTACACCGCCTGGGCAGGTTTATAATGGTATTGGAGAACCTAAAGACTGTATTTATAGAAGTGCCTAAGGGATTTAGAGTCTGGCTCTCTCTAAGAGTCCCACTGACTAGTTAGGAAGGAAAATTATAGGGAATGGTGCCAGTACAGCACTCTGCTTCCACACACAAACGTTAATTCAGAGAATACTTGCAGATAAATACTGTAGCTGAGCCAGATCCCAAGCTCATCTAGGTGAAGGGAGAAATTCCCTCTGAAGTCAATGGAAATTGGATCATGATAACACATCTAGAGAAGATTTAATATAGAACTGCATGACAGTAATTGATGCTCCTCTGGGACAACATTATCAAATTCCACCTAATTTGGAGCCAGTCAACCAATGCCAGCTGCACTATAATGTTTAACCAGGTGTTAAATAGATGTGAACTTCTTAGATTTTCTGTCAGGAGGAAACAAATAAAGATCACAGGAATCTAGAAGAATATTTTTTCTTCCCAGTATATATTTGTCTGTTATAGACTGGGGTTTTTTTTTTTGTGCATTTCTTTTTAAATGGTCTCTTTTCTTAAGCAGGGCTGAGTATAAACCATCACATAACACAACACAGTAAGGGCACTGTGCAGTGTCCCTGTGGCCCAGGGGCTGACAGGATTAGTTCTTTTCTCCTTGCCCTCTGCTACCTTTGCCCTAACTCTGAGTTTTGCGTTGAGCAGCGGACGAGGATGAGGATAAGGACGACGACTTCCGCGCGCCGCTGTACAAGAACGTGGAGATCAAAGGAATCCAAGTACGGATGAAGTGGTGCGCGACCTGCCACTTCTACCGCCCGCCCCGCTGCTCCCACTGCAGCGTCTGCGACAACTGCGTGGAGGTAACGCTGCTGGGCTGGCCCTGCTCCGGGAATGGGCTGCTGGGCTGGCCAACGCTGGCTCTGGGCTGCCCTTGCTCTGGGAATGGGCTGCTGGGCTGGCCAACATGGGCTCTGGGCTGCCCTGCTCTGGGAACGGCCTGCTGGGCTGCCCCTGCTCTGGGAACGGGCTGCTGGGCTGCCCCTGCTCTGGGAACGGGCTGCTGGGCTGGACAACACCGGCTCTGGGCTGCCTCAGCTCTGGGAACAGAGTTCCAGCTCTGGGGAGTTGACAGCCAGGCTCCTGTCGCCGGCCGGGGGTCTGTGTACAAATCACAAACGGGACGGGACTGCTGAGGAATGTGCCTTGAGCTGTTTTGTTTTCTAGCATCAGTCTTATTATGTGGTTATGACAATGGGAAGATGCCACCAGCTCATATTCTAGGCATATTCTAGGCAGCAGACTAAGAACTTAATGTTATGATTTACTTTATAAGTTTTTTTTTGACTAATCACACAAAGCAAAAGCATATTGGGGAGTTCTGGGGAGTTCACAGCTGGACTCCCACTGAGCAGTGCCATTCGTAGCACAGCCCTCAGTTATGTGTGTTACAAATGCAACGATACTTGTTGTCAGCTCTGTCGCCAGTGGTGATTAAAATAGAAATTTGTAATGCTGGCTGCATCTTCCTTGGGGTAGCTAAGGGATTGTGAATGTAAAAAAAGGAGTGAACGGGAGAGTTGGTGGAGAGTTCAAGAGAGCAAGAAATTCAGGGTGAACCATTTCAACTTGTCATGTGTGAGCTTAAGGTTCATAATTTAATTTGGTGCAAACTGGTGCCTACAATAGTGGACAAGCAGAGAAGCCACAATGTGTGTGAATTCAGGAGAGCAAAACTCAGAGTTCTGGTTCAGCAGCAAATGGTTCTCCAGTCAATGGAAGGAGCCCATGTCTTGTCAATACCCCAGCTCAGAGCATGAGCTCATTCATGTTTCTAATGTTGATTGCTCTGAATTAGGGGACTTTCTTGATTCTTGTTACCCTTAGGGTCTTGGTGAGTCACACAGGATTTTTAAAAAATAACCCTAAACAGTAACGTGCTTTTGGGCTATAAGCATCTCCCAGACATGTAGGTACAGAGCACTGTATTCACAGCAGTGTATTGCCAGGGGACTTTTTATTGCTGAGCTAAAAATTCTACTTCTAAAGGTTCATTTCTGCTGCAAGGTCTATTTTTTTCAATAGAAAGATGAAATCTTAATATGTCTAAAATATATTCAGCCGTGCCATTAAAATGAAAAGAATTACTAATCAGAAGGGGAAAAAATACCAGAGTCAGCTGGAATGCTGTATACACTACCTTTGTCCTAATCCTCTTTGCCATAAGCAAGGGAATAGTCCCAAAGAGAGCAGCACAGTTACAAGTGAGAGAAAGGCTGCCTGGATTTATCTTGTGTCAGTCATATATCTAAGTTATAATTATCTGGAAGCAGTGCTATGCCTAGTAACCATTGATAAATGGGACAAGGCTGTCCTGGTTTGGAAGGCTTTAGAAGGATGTGGGATTTTAGAAGCCTGAGAGTGAGGAGCTGCTAAGGTCCCTGGGTAGAGAGAAGTAGCCACAGCTATTTGTGAGTTTGACACACAGTTTGTTTAGGCTGCTGTGAATTGTGGCACAGAGCTGGATTTTTGGTAGAAAACCTGAATCGTACATTACCAGTTTTAAAACATAAATGTTTTCACTAATTCTAGGTTCTGAGGATTGTTTAGATGATGGCAAATTCTCAGTTGTCCCATGGAGTTTCTTTCTTCCACCTTTCCCGGTGGCTCAGCATAAAAATTCATTTTCAGGAAATGAAGTTTTCTCAGAAAAAGATTGCTCAAAACTCAGTGGTATAAACAGTTGAAGTTTCATGCTGATGTAAGGCCTCCATGGGAGTCAGTTCTGCAGCAGAAATGAAAATGGGAGGGAATCCAAAAGGAACCTGCATAAAATAGCAGAAGGCAAGGTGACTCTGGCTTCTCCACAAGTTCTATTGATAGAATAGAGCTCTCCACAAGTTCTATTGATAGGCCAGTTGAGTGTTCCCTACTATTCTGGTGCACAAGTAAAGAGCTCTGCTTGTAATTAAATTACTACTGCTGTGGAGGAATGTAGGCAAAAAGTATTAATGACTTCTGAATCAATAAATCATGGCCTTAAACATGTTTTATTGATTCTTGTGATGCTTATTTCCCAATCACCTGTCATATTCTAGAAGAACTTTGAGACAGTAACAGGAGTGACTCTGCTGGCTTTCTATGTAGGATCGACTCAGGATTGTAGTTCCCATGTTTTCACTGTCAGTCTAGAATGTACAATCAAAATTATTTTCCCAAATATAAAACTTTTGAACCAATATGATAAAAATGAATAAACAGCAAAAGCAGACAACACTTGCAGAAATAAAACAAATTAAAACTTAAAGCATGCAGAGGGACCCAAAATGAATCTGTGACAAAAGTAGTCAGATTTTTGTTTTCTTAATTGGAATGTTTGCAGTGTATACTTACATAGTTTCATAATCCATAGGTATTTTGGGCTGCATACAGCCAGATTTGCATAACAGACAGATGTTATGTCAGCATTTCAGATATAGCCTGAAATGATCTTAATATTTAAGTCGCCCCTGTCCTTTTCTAATGTGCTTTGAGAAAGCTCTAATCCATTTTTTTGTATTTTGTAAATTTTTGGTAAATGCATTGTGCAAAATTAGAAATACAAAACCCCCTGTGTCATCATTGAGCAGTGCTTAAAAACAGCATTGCCACAAAGTGAAGAATACACGGTGTATTTGTCAGTGCAATGAATGTGTAATATCTGCTCTGCAGAACACAGAGGTAAGAAGGGTTTATTTCTTGCACCTGATCTTGTCTTCACGTCAGGAATAATCCCATTGGAGACAGTGGATTTACATGCTTACAAAACTGTGTAAAGGCACTTGGAGGGTGTCTGTGGCTTGCCCTCATTATTAAATCTCCTGTTAAAAGGGATCTGACTTTGTAAGGGACTTTGGACTTGTAACTAAGACAAATAGTTAGGTTTGGATTCATAACTTATTGGACTATGCATAACTTTGCCTCTGTCTGATCCTGCTGTTCTTTTTCTTTGTGACCTGCTTGGTAAAAAGGTACTTTTGTGTCCAAAATGGACTCATTGTTCAAAGTGGACTCATTCAGTGATGTATAAATACTGAAATGTGGGACAGGGCATTCTGCAGCGCTATTGCATCTTCAAACCATTCTAGGCTATAATAACTTCATTGTAATTGACTCATGCTAAGGATGATAAAAATGAGGGCTTCTGCTGCTAGCAGATAAATAGCCTGTTCTTTATGTTTGATATATCCTCTCTTCAAACCCTATAAACACTCAAGTACCTCTCCATTCATGGATAGAGAAACAACTTGGTCCTAAAAAGTCTTATAAAAGACAGTCAAGCGTTTTGTAAAGCTGCAGAACTAGTCTGATGTAATTTTACATGACAGGGGTTCAGATTCATCTCTGAGGCAATGTATTTTCTTTCACTGTTTGGATATTTTTCCCTATCTCTCCCTTTCTTTACAAGGATTTTGACCATCACTGCCCATGGGTCAACAATTGCATAGGACGGAGGAACTACCGCTATTTTTTTCTCTTCTTGCTGTCCTTAAGTACACACATGGTTGGAGTGTTCACCTTTGGGCTCATCTTCGTCCTGAACCACATGGAAAATCTGGGAGCAGCTCACACCACCATCACGTATCCTTCCTGTTGGTCTTTCCAGACTCAAGGTGACTGAGGAGAATGGGCAAGAATGAATCTGAATATTTGTCCTCAGGGAGCTGGTGGAGCCTCTCCTGATCCCCCACTGCTCTCCTCCTGTAAATGCTCAGTGCAGGATTTCCTCTGTTCCCATTGTACCTGGGTGAGCATGGATTGCTCCAGAAACTGTAGGTGACCCTTTGTCTTTCTCAATCTTTGTCATGACAGCCCAGCAGAAGGATGAGCTGCCTCCCTGAATTTAACTTACAAGCAGGTGTAGCTCTCAACTGCTGTTTGCTCTGTTTAAAACTCTGTTGCTGTGCTTTGGAGCAGAGTGTGCTCTGGAAGTAGCCCCCTGTGTGCTGGTGTAACACATGAATTGCTGACTCTGAGGGGTGATACTGCTCTTGATAGGTCAATGCAGAATATTCTTTACAAGGTAGAAAGGTAGAACCAGAATCAATGAGTAAAAAGTAATTCACATAACTTTTTAACCATCTCAAGGGTGAGGACCCAGACTAGGAGCAGATGGACTTAACTTTGAGATGGAATTTAGTTACACCTTGCTAAAGGTCAGGAATGATCTGCACACATGAGACCCCATCTGGAGTGCTGTACCAACATCAGAAGGATGTGGAGCTGCTGGAGCAAGTCCAGAGGTGTGGAGCACAGAGGTGCTCAGAGTCCCTCTGCTCTGGAGACAGGCTGGGAGAGTTGATGTTGTTCAGCCTGGAGAAGAGAAGGCTGTAGGGAGACCTAAAAGCCCTTTCCAGTGCCTAAAGGGGCTCCAGGGGAGCTGGAGAGGGACTTTGGACAAGGGTCTGGAGTGAAAGGATGAGGGGGAGCAGCTTCAAACTGAAAGAGGGCAAGTATAGATGAGATACTAGCATAAAATTCTCCACTATGAGGCCCTGGCACAGGGTTCCCAGAGCAGCTGTGGCTGCCCTGGATCCCTGGAAGTGTCCAAGGCCAGGCTGGGCAGGGCTTGGAGCAACCTGGGATGATGAAATATGTCCTGACACAGCAGAGTTGGAACTAGGTGATCTTTAGGGTCCCTTCCAACCCAAACCATTCTATGGCACTGTGACACTCCCCTATTTATTTTTTTTCTCCTTTACCTCTCCCTGTCTTTCACAGACCCTTTTCCCCTTCACTCATCCCAGTTTCTTTAACCCTTGGATACAGAATGGCTGTCATGTGTGTGGCTGGGTTGTTCTTTATCCCAGTCATTGGTCTCACTGGCTTCCACATTGTTCTGGTGGCCCGAGGGCGCACAACCAATGAGCAGGTAAGAAGCAATCCTTTCTCCATGTTTGTGGCTAAGGTGCTGAGGTGGGAAGGAAAGTCAGCAAGTCAGCTTTGGTAAAGCTAAAGATGGTCTAAATCTTACCAGAAATGTTCTTATTGGAGTTTTTGTGAAGATCTAGGAAGGTTGCTTATTTTTTTATTTTCAGATTTTTTTTTTTTAATACACTGCAGGGAAAGATTTCCCTTTTTTAGCCACAGAGCACTACCCCAGGCTTATTTATTATTTAAAATCTACAAATGACCTTGAAATAGGTTTTATGTGGTAAGTACCATCAACCCCAGAAGTTCAAACTTTATGAGTCAGACTGAACAATCCATGAGATTGAGTGAAACAGAAAGGAAAAGATTGAATCATTTGCCCTCTCTCCTGGTATTTTGAGCTCCCCCAACAAGCTCTCACTGCCCATAACAGGGTCTGAGTCAGCTCTTTGTCTCCCTCCGTGTCTCTCTTGTTCTCATGCATATGAACTCACACACACAGAGTGCTGTTGGACCCAGCTTGGTTTGCTTCTCCGAACTAAGTGCCAACATTTGTGCCAAAAAGCCTGGAAAACTCCAGTTCCCTTGTAGTTGCTCAAATGTCCATGACCCACATCCCTGTGGTTGATGCAGACCTGCATTCATGTGCCCATTAATGGCTTGGTGTGGCTGGTAGAGATCAATGTGATGGGATCAATAACAGGTCCCTGCCAGCCCAAGGGCAGTTTGCAGGTGTGGCACTGCTCTCAGCCCTCATCCCAAGGCTCCTGAACTCTGTGCATCCCAGTGCTTTACATTCCTTTACATTCCTGTGCGTTCCAGTGCTTTACCCTTCTACAGCTCCAGCTCCAAAGTGCCCCTCACATCTGGGCTTTTTTCCACATTTTTCCCCACCATACTTCTTTTCCCTTGGGTTTGGAGGTTTTTTTTCAGATGGGTTTTTGCTGCCCTTGCCCCCATGGGTGCTCTGCAGCTCCCACTGAGCTGTTTTGGCTGTCCTGGGGGCTGATGGCTCCATGCTGTGGAGCTGTCTGGCTCCTGGGCATGAAAACATCTGTCTGAGGCCAGGCCCTCGTAAACTGAGATGACATTGTCTCCATCCCACAAGGGACAATAAAAACTCTTATCCAGAAGAGTGTGGGAGGTTTACATAAGCAAGGAATCTGAAGTCATCCTGAGCAGTTGCCTAACATGGCCTTTGAACAAAGCAAGCTTCCATCTTCAAATGCTTTTCTCTGTCCTGCTCAGAATCATCTGCTCTTCATTTTAAAATTAATTTTGGCCAAGTATTAGATTTGATAGTGCTAACAATAGGAGCATGAAACACAGGGCATTTTGGTCTCATAGCCCAAATCGTGGTTTGCCTTAGGCTTGTCTTTGTGCAGTGATAAAAACTCTCCATGAAAATTTTAGGCTGGAAAAGAAGGAAAAATTTAACTTTAAAAAATGTTAAATTTCATTTCATATGTTTGTGGCTGCACTAGAATTTAGAAAGGTTGAGGATTTTTCTGTGATCAAAATAACCATTGGAAAATGTATCCTAGCTTGGTTTGTTTTCCTGAGCTACCAAACCACTTGAGATTTATTACATCTCCCCATGCCATTTTGAAAATTAAATATAATCTGGTCTTAATTTCTGCTTAGTCATATGTAGGGGTTATCTGTAACTGAAGGATGGATGTTCCCAGCCCTGAGGTCCTTTCAGAGGAAGCATATCTGAGTAATTAGAGCACCAGACCAGGAGAGATGGATGTGAGATCTGCTCCTGGCTTTGCCACTGTTATAAAACATTCTCTTTTCTCCTGCAGTCTCAGTGCTGATTCTCTTTTCTCACACTGGTGGTTATCTACTGTCAGCTTTGCAGTTGCAATATGCTCCGCTTATCTTGTTCTTTTTTTCCCAGTACATTTTTTAGGCCAGTGGTACAGACATTTTTGGGTTTTTACTGTAAATTTTTGGTATTTATTCATTCTGGAGTTTGTAAGTTCTGAGCATTCATAGTAGGCAGACTGTGATTGAAAAGTGCATAGTGGCTGGGTTTAGATGTTTACTGAGCTTTCTGAATGCCTCTGAAATTCTTTTATGGAATGAAAATAACCCATAACCCAACATGGCTCATATCCTGGTATTTTTAGTTTCTGAATAGAGTAAATAAATACCCTTCCTTCTTAGACTGCTTTCTAGCAGAGATTTTCAAACTACTTTAGAAACCAAACTGATATAATTAGTACTGTAATCTGTGAGTTGGAGAAATTTTATTTTCATACTGTGTTTGAGAAAATGGGCACAGAGATATGAAATGCTTTGCCAGCATCTGGCACAAGTCAGCGTGAGCCCAGGATTGATTGCAGACATGCCAAATGTCCCAGGCCCATGTTTTTATCAAAAGGTTGTTCTTCCAAATCTCAGAACTTCCAGCTTCTCTCTCTTGGCCTTTTAAAGAGCTTTATGTTATATCAACAAGGCCAGCATAATATATTGCAGAATCATTTAATCCTTGTTATTTTATGTGCAAGTTATTAAAGTATTTCTGGTGCTGTGTAAACTTGTTGCTAGATCAGAACTATGAGCTGATTAAAATGCTTTACTTGCAAACCACACCAACAGTAATGCTTTTAATGGCAACCACTATTAATCTCCCTGGCTTTATTGGTGTTTATCCCCATATGGTGACTTTTGAGCATGTGCCTGTAGAGTACAAACTCTTTATAATGCTTATGAAGCCTTGAATGGATCTCGCCAGTCTAATGAGGCTTGGCTTTTATTAAACCTGCTCATTTACAAGCAAACATTGTAATCACCAGGGAGTTCCTGGCACCCTCCCACATAAGGCAGTGGTTTGTACTGATTGCTGCTCAGTATGAGATCTGAGAGAGAGGAAACATTGCTCTCATCCAGCATTTGGGAACATTGATTCGACTTTGCTGTTGGTTTGGAGGGGACTTGCCAAGGCAGAGGAGGGGAAGTGATGGGAATGAAAGATACCCAAACAGGATGTCTGGCTGGGGGCAGACACAAATCCAGCCCAGGAGCAGCATGGAGAGGTAAACACATCACTTTGAAATCCAGTCATATTTAGCAATGTCCTTTTGGGAAGGATCTTGAGTGGAGTGCCTCCTAGCTGGAATTAGCTGACAGGGGTGGTGTGTTAGAGCTGGAGTGAAAAAGTGCAGCATTCAAAGAAAAATGATCTGTTTGGGAAGGACAGAAGGGTCAAACTTGTTCTTGGCTTTCTGAGGCTTGAATGATGACTTTTATATAACCAGAGGTTTGAGCAGTGTCCTGAACATGTTTCCAGGTGACAGGGAAATTCCGTGGGGGAGTGAATCCCTTTACCCGCGGATGCTGTGGAAACGTGGAACATGTGCTCTGCAGCCCCTTGGCTCCCAGGTAAGAGAAATGCTCTCAGCTGGAATGAGGGAACAAGAATTCCTGTTGGGACAGGGGGAGAAATGTGCTTGGCTGGGCTCACAAGCCAAGGATCATTGATGGAATAAGAGGAAAGCAAAGCAGAACAGTCCTGAAGGTAGAGCTCTGTGATAGCTGCTTCCCTGATGCATGGCTGTAACCTGTAATTTACCACCCTTATCCCAGAAATATTTTTTTGGAATGAGCTTATCAAATTATGTTAAGCTCATACCCTTGTCTTCACCAGCTTGTTTATCCAGTGGATTTCAGTAACAATGTAAATATCCATATGTTATCATATTGCCCACACTACTTCTTACACTGTACAGGCAATGTCCACTCTGCTGGGGAAAAGGAAGGAAGCTAAAATCAGCCTTTCTCCTTAAGAGTTAAATCTAATTTAAGGCTGCTGTGGTTTTCAATCTCACTGGCACTTTCATTATCATAAAACAGATTATCAATGAGATCTACATCACGAAACTTGAGATTTTATTTATGGCTTTCTATTTTTGGGGAAATGGATTTATCGTTTCACATTTTGAAATCAGGATCTTAATGCAGTAGATCAGATGGACTATAAATAATTCTAGGTGCTGAGCTGTCCAGCCTGCAAACATGTTCATAATCTTACTACAAGACTTATTTGAGCCTTTGTAGGGTGTTGAACAATTCCAGACCCTGACACTCTTATCTGCAGTTTTCCCCCTTTGTTGTACAACAAATAATTCCTAAAGGACTGTTACCTGTGTTAAAAACATTGGAGTAGCTGCTTCTCAAACCTTCCAAACATGAAAGTCAGGTCAAGGTGGATGAGAAGAGCTGGGTATTAAATGCTGTGAGACACTTGTGTTAAGAGAGGGGTTGTGAGTACCATCATCATGGCTATTCACAGAATTGTCACAAGCAGAACATTTGTGTTTTGTGAAGACCTGTTCAGGTTGTTCTGTATATTGAAGGCCCCTGAGCCATCACTACTAGAATGTCCTGTTCACTACATAAAACAGAGAAAGCTGGTGTGTGTATTGATACTTGGGCATTGTACAGACACTGGCCAATTGCACTTAGAGAATTCTGTTCCACTAAAGGGAAATTAGATATCTAAAATCAGCCATTTCCTCTTAGATTTTTTGCTTCCTATAGACTTGGCAGTCTCTTTTACCTCCATTTATTTGAACACTAAACATGCTACAGAAACAAGTCACCATGTGGTAAGTTAGAACTGGCAGCACATCATCTTCTCCATGGTAACTCCCCATGTGCTGGGTCTTGTTCCCCAGTCACTGACTTCCACCACAGGGCAGCTGTTTGGTGTTAACAGGGATGATGCAGTCAGTCACTTCTTTTGGTGGCAGGCCTCTCGTGCTCTCTTCGTGCTCTTGTCCATTGGTGTTTTAAAAATTGCTGATTTTTTTCAATGCATCTTCTTCCTTCGCGCCCTAATTTTTAATTTTTTTTATTGCTGCTTAATTATTACATCCACTGAAATAAATTGAGGTTCTTACCTGGATTCTGACACATTCTTAAATCATAACCTGGAAGTGGGAAGATTTTTAAGCCTTGTTCTTAGGTTTATTTTAATGATGAGTGTTGCACAATTCATCAGGTATGTGGTTGAGCCCAAGAAGAAGCAAGCTGTGAGTGTGAAGCCTCCTTTCCTGAGGCCGGACTTGTCCGAGCGACAGATCACGGTGAAGATCAGCGACAACGGCATCCAAGCCAACCTCAACCGCAGCAAGGTGAGGGAATCTCCAAGCTCTGCTTTTGCAGGGCAGGGATTGAGCATTATCAAGCCTGGGAATGAGTCTGTCATTGACAAATCTCTTTGAGATGATGCAGAAACTGGAGTTTAAGTCCTTGTCATGTACTTCATGCTTTGAAAGTAATGCAGGTTCAGTAACTGCAGCTCTTGATCCAGTAACAGGCAGCTCTAGCATGGAATCCCTCTGGGATTCTTTTGGAAGAGTTGCCTGTTCTTTGCGGTAGTTAATTTCTGTCCCAAGAGCTGTCACCCTTTCGTGTTCAGATTAATTTTAATGAGCCCTTGTACCACCAGACCAGGTCAGCTGTTCTACTTCAGAGAATGCTCTGAGCTTCGAGGCTGCAGGAAGGCTTGTGGTCAAGGGCAAGGAATATTGACTCAGAAGCTGAGTTCTCTTTTCAGTTTCCCCTGTCATGAATAATAAAGAAGGATTTATTTAGTCCCATAAAAAGTGGTGGATTCAAACGAAGCCAACTTGCAAGATTTTTGTAGATAGTTACTTCCTTTGGAAGTAACTTTGGATAGTTACTTGCTGAGAGCTACCTGGAAAGTTGCTGAAAAATGCTAGAAAGCACTATTGTCTTCTACCACATATTAATTAGCATGATGATTATAGTACTTAGCCTGCCAAGTAGACCAGGAAAGTACATTTAAAATTCTACTGGCTGGTTATGACAATGCTAATTTTACATGTGGCAGTCCTTGCCTGCAGTGGATGCTAAATCCTGTTTGTCATTATAGGTATAGGTAGTTCTGGTTCTTTGGTACATCCAGCACTCTGCCACATGCTGTTATTTAACCAAGTTTCATTAATGATTGATTTTTTTTTGGATCATTTTCAGTCTAAAATCAGCCTGGAAGGCCTGGAGGATAAGAGTATGGATGTGCAACCAACTCTCCCACCCAAAGGAGATCCAAGCAAGTACTCTGAGCTAAAAGGGCAGCTGGGCACCAGTGAAGGTATGTATGATCAGTGTTTTATTTTTATTTATAAGGAACTATTTTAGCCTCTTTAAAATGCTTCTTGTATTTTTTCAAAACTTGTGATCTGGGTGATGGATTTTTTCCTATTTATAAGATTTCCAGACTAGGGGAATTAACAGCAGGAAAGGGAGAGAAAAGCCTGCTTGAAGTGGTTTATTCAAGCCTAGGTTAATTTTTAATGTCAGTTTTGCAGAGTTTATAAACTCTTTTAAACCCTTTCTTAAATAAATTTTTAAATTAAGAATGTCTAAAGAATCTAAGGAATCAGAAATATTAGCAGGAAATTCTTAGGCATTGCAAACTGAATTATTTCATTGGTAAGAATGTGAACTTTATGCTTTGATACTATTAAAAAAACTTTTCTTTCAGACAGAACTAGTAGCTGAATCCAACCCAAACATTTAGTATTTCAAATTAGGCAAAATTTCTACTCGCCAAAACACGTCACCCCACTCAATATATTGTGTCTTGTCTCTTCTTCTCTGTAGATGGCTGACGTGGCAGCAATGTGCTGTTACTGCCATTGGGACCCCATTGATTTTGGTGGAATTCTGCACAAAAGTACTGCAAGTTCTATTCTCTCCAGAACAGATCTGCTTGCAGAGCATGATGGATGGCAATGAATCACGGCTGACAGCTTTCTGTCCACACACATTTTAATAGAAAAATTTTTTTTTTTCTTTTGCAGAAGGTGGCCTCTCACCCAAACTGATCAGCCCTCCCACTCCTGCCATGTACAAATACCGCCCAGGTTTCAGCAACACCCCCAAAGTTCACTACCACACCACAGCCGAGCAGGTGAGCGCACCCCGAGTTTCTGCCCAGCTAGTGCAGGCACTGTGGATCTGAGGGGGAATTCACTGCAGGGCTCCAGTGAGTGCCAGAGTGGAAAAGCAAATAACAAAGCTTGGCACTGTTGTGTGACAGTGTATTATTTTCACTGTGCTCCTTATGGAAACATGTCTGGTTTCACAGCTTCCCCCTGCTGACACGTCTGTCCCTCTGCCAGGCGTGTGCTGCCACTGCTGCAGTGTCTCAGCCTCATCCTGGGGTGCTGAGAAGTGTCACCTCCTGTTGGCTTCTCCTGGCAGAGGTGCCACCTCACATTCCCTTCAGAGGGAGCTGGGCATGCTGAGTGCTTCTCTGGATCAGACCCCTTAGCCAACACTCAGTGTACTCACTGATTCCTTAAGATGTCAGCTTGCAAAATAGAAAGAACTTTTAAAGCATCCCAAAAGATACTTTAGTGAAAATTAACAGAAGACTCCTCACATTTGACCTTCCTTAGCACCTTTTCAGTGCATTTGGGTTATATGGAAGAAAACCTTCCTAACTCTTGGCATCATTTTCACCTATCAAGAAAACTGAGATCCAAACAATTAGACAGATTTGCTGTGGAATTTTGACAGTTTATTCTTTTGCTTAGAAGTTATGAAACTTATTTCTCATGGATTTATTGCAAATATTCCTTGGCCCCTGGGACCTGAGAGCAGCATTTGGAAAATCACTGGTCTAACTTGTATATTTGCAATATGTATCTAAGTGTTCACGCACCAGTTGAGACACCCTTAAAAACCATATACCACACACAGTGCTGTTTTCTCAAAATTAATTTCATCAGGTCCTTCAATATCACTCCTGGAATAACAAGAAGGGGGTTATAGGAAGGAGTATTATGAAAGAAGTAAGGAAAGGAAAATATGGTAGATAAAAACAATTGACTGTAGCAACAGTGTAATAAGACAGAGTGTTCCTTAAATGGTGAGGAAAGCTTTTCCTGAATCCTCCTCATTTTGAAAAGAAAGATGGTGATAGATAGTGGAATTGCAGCTATGACCAAGTTTAAGTTTTAGTCTTACTGCAGTAATGGTAAATCTTATTCTCTGGATTTGTCCACTTAATGAAGAAACAGGTGGCTTATGAGAGGGAACACAAGAACAATGTGTTCACTGTATCCAGAAAGTTTAATATCCTATCATTTTCATTTTATTACATGAAAAATGGCTTGTTCATCCAGTTCAAAATAGTCTATTTACAGGCATCATGTAGCAATTTTGAGCTGTGGAAGCCACAGCATTCTGAGTCATAATGCCAAAAGTCAGAGAGCCAAGGAAGGTAGGCTTGTTGTGTTCATTCAGGGCACAGCCAGAGATGCAATATAGATACAGGACAGGTTCTGATTAGGCCAGGGGACTGGGCAGTGCTGTGAAGTGATAACAGGGAACAGCACCTTCACTCTGAGGGCTCCTGTTTCAATCCTAACCCAAAACAGTGCTGTTGCTGTTGCTGACTGGTGTGCAAGCTCTGGGGCCTTGTTCAGTTTTATAGTAGTCACAACTCTCTAGTAGTCAGCTGGGAGTATCATAAAATGGGGTTCACGTGGGGAGCTGATAGGAGGGCATGGATTTGTCTGCCAAGCCTAAGTAGGAGGTACAGAGGGAAAGAGACTGGGCTGTGTGAGGAATGCCATGATGTCTGTTCTGTATCAGCTCTTCAGCCTGTCAGTGTAATTCTGCTTTTGAGCAGTGAGAGCTGCTAGGAAAGAGGCATTGGGACACAAGGATAAGTAGCACAAATACACTTAAAAGCTACGTCATTGCTCTCATCCTCCTTTACAGGCTGTCACTTGGTCTCCTTTTTCCAGAGAAGGCCAAATTTAGCACCATGCTCTAGAAGAGAGTGAGCTGTTTTGCATATTTCTCTATCTTCTAGCTGAAAGGAAAAAAGCTTTTTAAAAACATCCACAATAAACCAGGGGTTTGTCATTCAGTTTATTCTTTTCAATAGTTTTCCTTTAAAAGAAACTAAAGAACAAGCTGTGCCAACTGCATTTCTGATTAAATATGTGACTGATAATAACTCTTTGTTTGCACAGCCAGTGTAGCCAATTTATTGTGCATTATGGAAACTCTTCCTTAAAAATAACAGTGAAAACTATTTGCTTAGCACAGAATGGCATTTTAAGTGAACGGAACTCTGAGCAATTTTCACAGAGTAAAACAAAGTGAAGTCCTATCTGTTTTTAGAGCACATAAATAAACTATGCACTTTGTTTCCTTTTCTGATGTGGCCACTTTCTCTTACACAGACAATAAAAAAGAGAAAATTGCTTCATTTCATTGTCTAAATGGTGGGAAGGAGCCTCTCTGCTTTAATTAAGGTTAAATGCCTAATTTTGAAGACCTATGACCAGAAGTTCAGAATTACTGAATATTCATAGTGCAGAGTAGAGTGGATAAGAGTGTGCTGGTCCCCAGTGTGTTGAAATGAAGCTCAAAATATTTCTGTCTCTGCACACAAGTCCAGACATCCCTCAACTCAAGAGCTATTTGTAGAAAATGTGAAGTGCAGTGCTTTTTCCAAGGGCAGTATTATCAGATAACAATCTGATTTACCTTGACTGAGACTTGAGTCTCAGCTTGGGTCTCATTCAGTGTCCATGTATTAACTTACTTTTTACTGTCAATATTATTTAGCAACTCCTCCTTGGTTCTAAGGTGCAAATCCATATGTTGAACAGGAGTCAGGAGATTTTCTTGTAATGAACCTGGGCTGACAGTCAGAGGGAAGACCTTCAGCTCTGTCCTTCCCATGCACTCACTGAAAGAGCAAATCTGTACTTACATGTCACTGGCTTCTGTTTCTCACACTCACCTTTGTTTTAGATCACCTTGCAGGAGGGACACAGTCAGGGGGCTCTGATAGAAGAGGATGGCAGGAGCCTTGATTACCAGTCCGAACCCAGCTTGGACATCCCCAGCTACCGGAAGAGCTCCCTGCACAAGACCTACCAGTCTTCCCCACTCCAGATAGATTCCTTTGCCATCAATTCACGATCCCTGAGCCTGAAATCTGCTGGCAGGAGAGGGACAGACAAAGTGCCCCTTCATCCAATAAAGTCCGAAGGAGCGGCTTCCACCCCTTACAAAAGCATCTTTTCTCCCAATTCCCTGTCAAACAGAAATGGGAGTCTTTCCTATGACAGTTTGCTGAACCCCATGTCTCCCTCGGGGAGGAAGTGCATTGCCCATTCTGCAGTCAGCTCTGTTGGGTACCACTCTCCATACTTGTCAGCCAAAATGTGCCACCTGCGGGGCAGCGAGCTGCAGCGCCAGCCCCCGCAGAGCTTCAGCCCGGTGCTGGGCAGCCCGGCCCCGCATCAGCGAGAGCCCTCCCCAGTGCGCTACGATAACCTCTCCAAGACAATTATGGCATCCATCCAGGAGAGGAAAGAGATGGAAGAGAGGGAGAAGCTCCTCCACTCGCACCCTGACTCGGTGTTTGCAGACTCAGGTGTCTATGACACGCCCAGCTCCTACAGCCTGCAGCAAGTGAGCACGCTCTCGGAAGACCCGCGCAGCATGGCCATGAGATACGGATCCAGGGACAATCTGATGGCTGCCACCAGCTTTAGCACAAGGAACCCTATACTGCAGTCCTCAGTGTCTTCACTCTCAAGTGCAATGACAAGAGCCCCAAGGACTTCCACAACCTCTCTGCAAGCTGATTTAGCCAATAATAACGTGCAGTCCCATCAAGCACTGCAGGGCAGGGTGAGCAATGGCTCCTACAAATCCCCAGGCCACCAGGTCCCATCGTCCCCCACAGGGATGCCTAGGTCACCCTCTTATGGAGGCCCGAAGGCTGTGTCGTTTGTAAACACTGTGGAAATCACAGAGGTGCAGTCAGTGGGAGCACAGAGGTATGTACTGCTTGAGGGGCTGAGAGCACTGGGAATCTGCTTGTGAGCAAGGGCTGGAGCTGGAGCTGCGCTGGAGGCACACCCTGAGGAGGTGTTTGCTGTGGGCCATGACGGTGGGAGGTTTGTGGGTGCTCTTCAGTTCTGTCACACCCCCACAGCAACCTCATCATGACAAAATGTTTGCACTTCTGCTGTACCTTGAACTGCAGGTGGTCACTTTTGCTGTAAATTCATAGTGAAACGATGTCATAGCTGAACTGGGGAATTATTTCCAAGGTGGTAGGCAGATTATTCCTCCCCTTAGGCACAAAAGGGTGGAACTGTTCTACTTTGCAGCCTGAAGGGAGGCTGACCCAGACATTGCATGGATACAGAGGCAGAGCTGGGATCCTACTTGTGCCACATACCCTCCACTGAGGGAAACAGGCTGAGATCCTGGTGCTTGGCATTGACAGCTCTGTATTTACCACTGTTGACTGTCCATAGTACAGAACTGCTGATAAAAGCACAGAGCTTCATGATATTACCTTAAGGCCTTTCTGCTTCCTTCCTTTCTGTGAGAAAGCATGGAGAGAAAGGATTTGCTGTGCTGAAAGCCTCAGTAACTGCCACCTGAGCAAGATGCTCAGCCGCAGCTTCTGCATGTGCTTCTGTTTTCCTTCTGGAAGCTATGAAGCTTGGAAAGCTTGAAAAGATCATGATCCTGCTGAGGATGCAGTATTTCAGCTTAGTTGGGACCTTGAGGGCAGCTCTTCAGAAATATCTAAGTTTCCTTTGTCTCTGGTACTTACTGTGCTGTGCTGACCTCTGGTTTAGATCCCAGGTTTCTCTCTCCTGTTATCCAACAGTTTTGGAAAACGTACTGAAATGTGGGAGAACTATTATTGTAGACCTCCTGAAGTTAAGTGCAAACAAGTTGTTTCAGAGATGAGCAACAAAGTTTTGTTTACCTGGATATTTAACTGGGAAATGTTTTTTCCGAGAATTTGTTTCTGCTTTTTAAACACCGTTTGGCTTAAGGTCAGTGGTGAGCAGTGGTAACAGTTAAACTCTCCTGTGTCCTACAAATGCCTCTGCAATTAGTTTGGAACAACAAAGAATTTAAGCAAGTAATTAAATTAACAAATATTACTCAGGCGTGGTCCACTAACCTAATGGCCAAATTAATTCTCTCATTTCAGTGGCTTTTCATCAAATGCACTGGCTTCAACCAGCTTGCTCCCAGGCTTGAATATTTTGCAATGCTGGGAACTCAGGATGACAGGGGTAATTGTTTATTCTGAATGAAGCCATTCTGTATCACACTTTGTCACTAATATTGCATCTTTTTATATTTCTTTTGGTGCAGGGATGACATGCAGTTGAAGACACCTCACAGTAAAATAAATGGACAGCCAAAAGGAATAACCAGGTTGGGTTCAACATCAAGTTCCCAGGGGACACCAGTCAGCCCTGCTAGACACTCTAATGTTAAGAAGGTGTCTGGAGTTGGTGGAACAACCTATGAAATTTCAGTGTAAAATAAAATGAATTAAAAACAAAGAGCCATCCACTCAGCCAGCCATGAAGCTAGGAGCACTGTGAAGACTCAAACAACAACAAAGAAGGAGCAGCAGCAGTCGGCCACTCTCCTTTTCTTGTTTTGGGTTTGTTCTGTTTTCATCTTTCTTTTTTGGCCAAAAACCAGCTGCAGCCTTATTCTTGAGGGAATAATAAAATTGTACAGTGTATCAGACTCTTCCTGAACCGACAGTCAGGAACTGGCTACGACCTAAGACCACACGGAGTGGAATTCCTTCCTGCAAGAGAGCGCTAAAGCCATTGTGGTGTGTCTGTCCAACCACTCTGTTGTGTAGCACTTGTGCTGTGAAACAGTTCAGTCAGCTAGGATCAGTCAGTTCTCCCATGCCCCTTCCCAGTTCTTCTGGCCAGCGAGGTGTCTGGCAGGAGCCAGAGGACCAACTGCTGTTTTCCTGCTGACATGGAAAGTGGGGTTCCTGTGCTGAGCAGGAGCTTCTCCTCGTCCCCCGGGCGCTGCAGCTCAGGTTCCTCCTCCTGGAAGGAGCAAGGCAAGGCCACTTGGGCTGCAGACACCATGTCTTCTTTGGAAGCCTCCCTGGTCCCAGATGGGGGCGGGAGAAAGGATAGCAACAGCTTCTCCCTGTCTGCCGTTGGCCTCCCTGTGTGTGAAGTTGTGTGTGTGTGTGCGCGTGTTTGTCTTCATGGAAAACGACCGCAACACCGGCGAGGATCTGCCACTCTGACCTCCTGCTCCCTCTGGGTTTGAAAGGCTTCTCTGACCCAGCAACAGAACCAAGCAGATGAGAAAAGAAATGTTCAGATGGAAGCATATTTTAAACAGCCATCAGCTGCTTTCCCTGCACCCTCCTTACCTGTTGGATTTAGGCAATAACAGAGTTTACTGCCTCGCCCTGGAGCCGTCAGTGTAATCCCGCAGCAAGGTTAACATAAGCTGTCGAATTTACAGTGTGTGTAACTGAGCCAAGCGTGCATCTAAAGGATATAAATTTTCTGTCTGCCTAATTACTAGCACATTCCCTCTGGTCTTCAATACTGTTAGACAAAGGATTTTCAATTTGGGTTTTTTCCCCCCTGGGGAACAACTTTTTAAAATAATATCAATCAAATCTATTTAACATTCTGAGGTTTCTTTTTCCTGTCTCCAGAAAACTACATTTACTTTGTTGGATTTAAAGACAACTTTACCGTAAAAAACAAGAAAGGGGTGCATTACTTTTGTCAAAAATATGAGGACTCTGGCAAAGCTAATTTTGGGACAAATGGATTTTTATTTCTCTATTCCTTATCTCCTTTTCCTTACCATTCAGTTACCACCTCAGAAGTCAAAAGTACTGAGATCTGGACCAATGCTAACTTGCCAGATCATGTGTGCAATTAAGAATATCCTGAGCGACTGTTGCCAAAGTCACTAAAAATTGTTATTTATCACTGAGCCAGTCAGCATACAAGACCTCGACTTCCCACCTGGTTCTCTTGGTGAATAGTTTTGATTAGAGATCTAAATCCATCATTTTTCAGGATATTCGTTTCAAGGGGTTAAATCCTTTTCAGTCCTTGACTATAATGGAAAGCTCTCCAGGTATTTGGTAGCAATTCAGAATGTGTTAATAATATCTTACTTGTTTTCATGTATGTTGAGGTTAATTATTCCAGAAGGCAAATATTGACCTTAATTTTGCCTGGTTACAATTTATATTTTGATTTGATGAATCTTGACATCTGCTGCAATACATGGTTATTATGTCCCTTGTATATCACATTATTTTTTGGAGACAAAGGTTGAAGAGAACATAAGAAAGTTAATCATCTCTCTGTGTAACGCTCTATGTTGCCTGAAGGAAGAAACGTGGAAAGCAATGCATCTGCAATAGGCTAAAGTTCTGAAAGGGTGAAGTAGAAATCAGTGTGCATTTTATTGCCTTGGTGATATTTTAAATGCCTGGTGTAGGGATATTGCAGAGCAGTGAAGCAATAGTGTTTCTGTGCAGATTTGCTCACTGGCATGTAGAACACTGTCTTTAATTGGAGGCACCATGGTGCCAAAAGGATGCTGGCAAACTGGATCAGGTATAGATGGAGCAATATATATTAAAGAACTGGATGGGCTGGCTAATGAGAAGATTTAAAGGGCTAAAACATGCCACTGGCTAAGCAATGAAGTGGAAATTGAGTACCATAATTTTACAAATATATTACTTAAAAGTTGTAAAACCAAAGGTAAATCCAAGGGTTGTCACTGGTAGCCAATGCTCTACATTTAGAATGGGGCAGAAAAGATGGAGAGGAAGGAGCAGTGAATTGTCTTCCAAGCAGAATTTTGGACAAACTGTTTAGGACAGTCAAACTGTATTTGGACAAGTCATTAAAAAATTTCTGTGAGAGGTGAGTCTGTAGGGACAAGGGGTAGACCAGATGGCCTTACAGATTTCTTCCATCTTTAACTGTTACTAATCTGCAGTCTACCCTGATGTTAACTCCTCAGGAAGATGCAGTACTTCTTTAAGGACTGGAATTCACTCTGGTGCATAGAGCATCACAAAATTACTTGTTTTTAAAGTATCATGTATGCCATATGTAAGCCCTGAAAAAGAGGGGGTAGGAAACACATGGGATTAGGGAGTGAGACAAGGGCACATTTTATCATGTATCTTTGAATACGTACATGAAATTCATGCAAGCAAGGCTGAAAATTTGCACCAATGTAATATTTGAGATTTGCATCCCAGTGATGCTCCACTTTGATCGTTCTTTCTCTTGCATTTATAAATGAAAAAGCTACTGAGGAACTTGAAGGGCCAAAGAGCCTTTGAAGTTAACTACATTAGTTCATGAGAGAATTTCTCAGTAAGACTAAACACAGTATTGTGTGTATAAAGCACTAATATCCAGGGTTATTTTGACATAGTTCACAAGGGGTAAGGGAGAAAAAAAGGATGCACTGTGTCAGTACAGGTTCAGCAGTAAGGATTATGTATTTTGTGAGTAGTTTTGCCCACAGTTGAGAGACATTCAACTTCTTCATAGGTTTACAATGGTACCAAAGTATTTTTTTTTTTCCTTTTGAGGTTTGCTTTTAATTCAGTGCACATAGCCTGGAGTAAATGATTCAGAGTTTCTGAAAGAATAATCTAAGCAGAACTGTTAACAGGAGATTGCATGCAGCAAATCCAGCCTCATTTCCATCCAAGGCACTGAACCTGCAGCTATTTACTCATAAATGTAAGTGTCTGTTCCATAGTTCCTGTTGTGGGACTGGGGACCTATTTATTAAATCTAATTTTTGAGCAGAATCCAGCCCATATTAAAGTATAGTTCTTGAAGCAGTTTACAGATCAGCAGTAAGGTTCTTCTGTCAAGATACCCTGTTTTTACAGACACTGCAGGCCAAATCTTCAGCTTGTATAAATTAGTGTGGCTCCATGAAAGCTCATTTAATTGATGCTAATTTATAGTAGGTGGGGATCAGCCATGAAAATCCAGCACGAGTTAACACATCCTGTAAAGTAGCTTTTTTATTTTTGTCATGCTTATTTCATGTTTCAAAAGTCTTAAATATTTTCAACATGTTTTTATTTGTAGCTGTGGATTGTATTACTTATTTAAAAAAGAGCAATAGGTTTTTTTAGTTTACGCATCAGTTTTCATTGCATATTGCATTTTATTATCTGTTTGTTCCCTGTTCATATGCTCCCATTTAGCCTCCAGGTTTTCATTGTAGTACTTTTCTGCCTTGAAAAGTTGGATCTCTATATCTTTAGTTGTATAATATATTGAGTATTATGGAATTAAATGTACCTTACTACATGGGTGGGAGAGAGAGAAAATATTTTTACTTGAAGCCTTAATATTTTCTTTTTTTACTACTTTGTTTGTTGACCTCATAGGAAAGTCTGAATAGCAAAGACTTTGAAACTCCGGGCCAAATACTGCACTGACAGACAACCAGCATTTGGCCCCCATGTCAAAACTGGATGCAGACATAACCTGAAGTGAACAAGGGAAAAAGCCTCAGGGTGGCATATTTTCCTGAAGATCATTAATACAGTCTCAAAACATGTCTGTAAGCAAGTACATTAAAGAAGTCTTCAAGTCTTGAATTTTTAAGGAAGGTGATAGCAGGAACTGCCCTAATATCTTACATCTGCTTTTTTTTTTTTTTTTTTTTTTATTTTTTAATTAAGCAAAACAAATTTATTTACTCAGTTTGGTTCAGCCAGCTCGGGGGGTTGCACAGAGCTCTGTGTTGGTAGCCATGTGCAGCACATGAGCTGTGGGGTGTTGCTGTTCTCATTCTAACCAAGCGTGATGTTGTGTCAACTCGGCCCACGAGGATCCCTCCCGGGCCTGACAGTGGACGTTCCTCAGATGATGCCTACTCTCCTACAAGCCTAATATGGAAATTGCAATGTGGTTTTCTTTGGACTATATCTGTGGTCCAGACTAGAGATATATAGAGAGATATATATATAGTCAATATTTTTTTGTGTGTGTGGGAAAGATGGGGTCAAGCTTTTCTGTCTCTGACAGTCTGGAAAGTTAATGTTGAACCGTTTTTATGGTCTGTATTTCACCTGTTCTGCCACCTTGAATTGTTGGAATGTATCCGTGCAGGCTTTGTGGAGCTCTGTCTGTAACCTTTTTTGTGGCTCTCGTAATACATATATATTTTTTAAACCTTTGGGTCACTTCAGTATTTTCAAGTGTCTGTTCCTGCCTCAGCTGCATTCGTTTGCTGAGATGGTTCACGGTGCTCTGCCATTTCTCACTTCCACTTGTGCCAAACCTGAACTGGAAGAGCAGAACTGGAAAGGCCAGTTCCAGTGCAAAGGACAAAACTGACAAAATATTAAAAGAAGTGACTGCACATTAAATCTCATTTTCAAGATGCCTATGGTAGAGTAGGAGATATGGTGAGTCTTTAAAAAGAGTGCTCCCAGTTGTGACCAATGAATCTTGTTTGGGAGGTCACAGCAAGTGGTCCATGAAACAACACTAAATGAAGTTTTCTGTACTGTTTATTTAAGCTGTGGGGTTAATAGGGATCCTGTGGTGCTGCACAATTTTGAATCACTGCCACAGAGTAACTGGAAAATTTTTATATTGGTATTTGTTGAATACATTCTGTCCAGGTCATGTGGGCTTAGAAATCCCAAACATGCGCAATTCTTAATCTGTCTTCATCTGTCTATGTGTTTCTAGTCTTTGGAAATATGTCCATTTGATCTGTCAGACTGTCTTACAACACACACAGCTGCCAAGCCCTGCAGCTGCTGCAGGATTTCTGATGCCATAATTTGCATATATAGGCTAATTGCATTAAGCAAGGATCCATTCGAGCATGTTCATTATAAATGCCAGTCATATTTGTGTGCTGTGGTGTCTTCACGTGGCAGAGATTACCTTTTATATAAAATGGCCCAAACTGTAATCACCAGGCTCATGGATGTTGGCTACATCAAGCAGGATTATATAAGGCCATGATCTGTTTCAATACTTTTTATTTAAAGATATCTTGGCTTACAGGAATCTCAGCTTTCCTCTCTCTAAGTAATATGTAAATTATCCAAGTTTGTGTTTCATTTTTTCATTGTTGTTATTTTTCATTCTGCAGGACAAGTTTAGGTTCACATTTTGGAGCTTAATAAGGAGAGACAAAGGAAACTATTTATACAGGTGAATATGTCTTTTAAAAAGAGAGAATCAGTTTTACAATAAATATATTAGAATTACTGTCAAAATTGGTTTTGTTCATCTTGTCACAACTTGAAATTTAACATAAGGCTTATTTCACAGCTGATATCTCTAACCCTGAAACATTTTTAAATGTTTAAAAGCACTTCAAATTATATGAAGAAATATGATCTACTTTTAGAGATTAAAACAGTCCTGGAGAAGTGATGGTACATTTTACAGTGCCTTATATATATGTGTATATATTTATATGTATATATATAATGCCTATATGTGTATAATGTATATGTAATTGTGTACATAGAGTCAGGTAAAACTAGTTACAGGTATCTCTATCAGATATATTTTAAATTGAACAAATCTGAACAAATTGATAGAAAAAAAATGGTTGTAGCAGCACCAAAATACAAAACCGAAATTACTTTTAAAAAATGTAAGCAAATAAAGTAGACTGGAAACAGTGTTTCTGCCATTGGTTATGTTCCAGGCTGTGGAAGACTGGTAAACAGACACACCATTTCAAGGGATATTCAGAGAGAAGGGAGGCAGTGCTGGAAGCTTGGAGAAAGTAGAGAATATGTAAGAGCAACTTGCCTTAGAGGTTGTGTTGCCATCATGTTCACCTTTTACAGGTCCATCCCCTGTGTGGATTTTTCAGGCAGTAATTTGTAAAGCACTGACATAGCCTGTCCATTGATACTGGATATAGAATACCCCTGGCCTGGGATGGACAGTGAGCACTGTGGGCAGTGCTGAAGTTTAATAACATTTCTAGACTGTCTTAAGATATTCTGTCAATCTGCTCCTCATTAATGGAAGTAATTTCTGCCTTTGTGGGCATGGCCAGTTTGATCAGACTACATGGCAGAAGTGCACAACATGGCTTAGGCAGCAGATTCTGCCAGACCAGGAGCTTTTCTAGGGGTTTAGTTGCATTGTAGAAAAAAAGGAGAACCACAGGTAAGTCTTTTATTTTAAAAAATATCCCCTTTCTGAAATAAAATTCTTTTATGAACATAAGTAATTCAAAAGCCTTTCTTTCAGCAGACTTGGTGAAGTATCTGCCATGTAAAAGCCATAAAGGCTGTGTGCTACCTTCTGAGGTTTGGTTCACACTTTTTAACTTCCAGCCTCCACATGGGGCTTGGACTATCCATCTATCTCTTCAATATGAGGTAAGAGCAGGATTTTCAAGGATTTAGTTGAGCATTATCTGCGTGTGTGTGAAACCCTCCCACTGAGTTCAGTGGTAACTGAAAGAAATAATGGGAAGGATATGTGTGGTGGGCCAGAGAAATGGCAATGCCTGGAACTCTCTGAGGGAAAAGTTGCCTTCCATACAAGTGAAGAACTGTCCTTTAGTTAGCACTGTTGTTTTGGAACTAAACCATGCTTCAATAAACCTTACCACTGCACACAGTCAGCCATGAGGACTCAAAATAGGGCTTTCAGCACCAAAATCACAAGATTTGATAGCCCAAATGAACACCTAAAATGAGAATTCCTGTTTTCAGAATAACAATAACATATCGAGCTCAGGAGTGAGCCATGCCTGGCTCACACTGAAATCTCACTTCCCTGAAATCAGTGGTAGTTTTTCCTTTAACATTAATGGTGCCTCATTATACTTTACATGCCATTAGGAGTGGCACCCACAGGAATTTGCTCTCTGCTGTAGCGTATTGACATTAGGACTTCTTCAAGCCTGTGACTCGGAACAAACAAAATACTTGCCATCTTTTATTTTCTCACAACAGCACAAAGGGAAAAGTGGAATTTCATAAACACATCCCATTCTGGGATCAGCTCTATTTTTAATGGAACTTCTGTCCCTGCTCCACAGGACAGAGATAGTTTTCATGGAGGCATTTTTGAGTGGCAGGGGAAGGAGGAATTTGGGATTAGTGGTGGAGCAGCAGTGGGGGCTCTTCTGCCTTGTGGCTTGTCCTTTCCTGCAGTGTGCAGGGGAGTGGCTCCTGGGCAGGGGTTTCCTCCTGCATTCACTGTTCCCATGGATATGAGGTGGATGGCTCCTGGTGTGCCAGCTGCACACTTATATATCTTGAAAGCCTCTTTCTTTTACACAGGACCAGAGCACATGGGGATCTTTGGGTCAGAGCTGACTGTGGAAGCTCATAAAATTGCATTATATTCTGGTTCTAGTCACGGGCCCAGGTGGTTTAGCAGAATACAGCTTTGCTGTCAGCTTTTTCTCTTGTACAGTCATTGGAACAGATGGTGAAAGGATTGTTGAGGGTCTGTTTTAAATACAAGCAATGCTACTTTTTCTTAGGAAAAGCTCTTGTAGAAACTGCAGTGTCTGAGTAAATTCAGTGAGTAACAGCATAATCCATTTTTTGCAGCCTGTATGGATCCATCTGGCCTTTGGATCAGCCCTTATTGTCTCATTGACAGATACCTAAAACAAGAGACTTAAAAACAGAGAAGTAAGTAGTTATAAATAGATGGTACTTGGTTATGACTAATTTTTTGGGCACACTGTGACATAGTGGAGACAAACTGCTCTGTTGTTGGCCACAATCCCCTCCATCAGAGCTCACATGCTTTGCACTGCTGTTGTTGGGAGCTTCTCAGCTTCCAGCTGTGACTCACAGTGACAGAGGTACCAGCCAGCTGTTCTTCTGCAAACACGGGCTGCACGTGAGGCACAGGAGTGGGCTTCAGGAATTCTGGCAGCAGTTCTGACTCCACTGTAGATTCCTGCTGCCTTGTTTGTCTTTCTGTGCTTCTTTGCTCCATCTTGGATGGGGGTGTGACTTCCTGACTCACAAATGTGTTGTGTTTGTGAGAGGCTCAAGCCCTGCTGTTCTGCCATCAGCTCTGCAGCTGAAGACAGGCAGATGCCTCCCATAGGTATCCTGCAGCAGTAGGGCATATTTGGGGCACATTTAGCCTCAAATGAAAGCATCACTTAGGTAGTGCACTTGAGGAGGAAGTTTTTGGGTGTTTGTGATGGATGTTTTTGACAATAATCTTGGTACTTCATGCTGATTTTGCAAGCTGTTTTAGTAAACAGATAAAGACATTTCTGCCTTGATCCTTCCATTGGCTCCCTGCACATTTCCCTACAATCCAAAGCTCTGCACATTACCCACACAGCACAATCATCATTCCAAGAGACCATATGCTTCATTGCCTTAAGCAGTTCTGCTCTCCCCTGCCTGCTTCTTGGAGCAGTTGTACATATGGATAATAATATCCAAAATGACTGAGCAGAAATGCAGTAAAAGAAATGGCTGTAGCTTGGGAGTGACCTCGAGAAGGTGGGACACTGATGTGCTGGTGAGGCACAGAACACATCAAGAGCTGAGTTCCACAGCCATTGACATGTCGTGGGCAGCTGAGGAACCCAGGCTGTACCCCTTGAGGGCAAGGACTGAGCTGCTGTGTTGCCATGTGAAAAATGTTACTAATTTCTGTCTTTTTTTGGGTCTGTTTTAGTG